ACTGACTGCACACCTCTCCCCTGCCAGGCAATATCTCTGTCTCTGCCTCTCAACAAGCTCTGCTCCTCTCCTGGCCACTCCACTTTTCGGTAACATTTTTAGCACTGTGACGTGCTGTCTTATGTGCTATAACACATTGTACTCTGCTCCCGTATCCGATTCCTTCTGCTGTATGAATTCTGCCACCGAAACAGTGCTATAAAAACTATGCAGTGAATTCTGTACAAAGACCTCCCCCATTCCCTTCCCCACCTTGCCAGGCAAGCTCCATTTTTAGCAATCACTAGTCATCTCAGACTCACTGAATAAAAGATAGCTACCTGTCTTCAGAGAGCAATTCTGTCTGTTCCTAAGAGGTTGCTGAAGGTGGGATTCACAGCCATTTACTGCTGTAACTACAGCTCTCAAGGTCACACCCTTTCCAAGCTGTGCTAGTCAAGCTTTACCAGCACAAAAGGATATGCTGTTGCTCAACAGGCTGATGAATTTCTTGATGTATTACAGAAACAATCCCTACTCCTTTCCTGGTTACCATCTCGAAAGGCATCGATTTCTTATAGCCTGAACTGTATTAACACCACCTTTCATTACATTTTTTAAAAGGACTTGGATAAAAGAAGAGTGCCAAAGATAATCTGCTGTAAAAGAGTCTAGAAGTCCCCGGCTTTGGATGTCAAGGAAGAAACATTCAGTGAATAGCTGCAGTGAGAATTTGTTGAATGATGTGTTTAGGAATCAGGTCTTTTGATCATTCTTGAATGGCAATGGATAACTTCTGGTGAAGGAAAGTGAAGTTAGAAGCCAGGTCACTATTTCCTCCAGCTTCCTTGTATTTATTGCTCCACAGTGAAGCAGAGAAGGGCAGGCAGTTCTCCCAGCCCAAGTCCCAGCTTTGCTTCACACCAGCCCCATATGCCCAGTGAGAGAACTGGTACAAGCCTGCAGGAACAGCATGAGACAGAAGAAAGCTGAGGGGCTCGAGATTCCCATGCAGGCAGCACACATGCCAGGCTGTCCTCTCCCTCCTGTCTTTGACACAACAGGGCCTTCAGACAGGGCTCAGGCTGGTGCTGCCCTCCCCGTGGAAGAGAAAGATGATATGGCTGACAAGATGCCTCCTTGCTGGACAGGCACATTCGTCTCAGATAATACAAGAACAATCCTCTAAGGCCTTGCCAGTCACCCCCTGCTGTGCTTTTCTAAGGTAAAAATCACCTGAGCTCTCCATAACTTAATCATCTCAGCAGTAGCCAGCAAGAACAAAAACACTATGAGTACAACTCACTAGGCACTATGGCAGCTAGCAGGCTTTTGTTCCAGGTCCATTTTTGTCTTTCTGCTCCATTTTCAGAAAGAAAAGTGGTTGGCAGGAATGAGTTACACGCAAGTCCAGAATCTATTGCTTTCTGAATGCTGTACATGGTGTCGTGCAGCTGCAGCAAAACCCAGCCAAAACAAGATGTAGATCATGCAAGAGCCAGGATGGAGCTGAGATCTCTGCTGAATCTCAGGGGGTTGTTTGTGAATTATTCCTATATTCGGAATTGTATCCTTGCAGTAATCTTGGTGTCCTGAAACCACCCCATAGGCACTTGCTACAGTGCATAACTGTTCTCTCAAGCAAATTTTTAGATATATAGTCACTGAAGAAAATACTCACTGCTGTAGAGATTTGTAACCAGTGCTAAGATTGGTCTGGATGAACTATGAATGGAAACATCTGTGTGTGTGTGAAAGCACAACCAACCTGTCAGCAGCAGATCTGTCCTTCAATGACAGGAGAAGGACAACCAGGTTAGAGAGCACATCACTTTCACAGCCTGTCTGAGGGCAGACTGTAGCCATAAAGATCCCCCAAACAAGGGAACAAAAAGGTGTCAGTGCTGCCTGAGATCAAAAAGAGCAAGACCCCGAGGTGAAAGATCACTCCAAAATAGCAGGTAAGTCCTAGAAAGTGTAAGGAAAAAAAAAACCAGTCCAAGAGCCAGTCTGTTGTGAAGAACAACTCAGCAGACACAGCAAGGGCTTGACAGATGGTGTTCCTGGTCCCCCCTGCAGCACACAATCCATCCTGGCTACAGCCCTGGATGCACGAGGCTTGGTGCCTGCATGGGGTGGTGAGAGCGTGAGCGAGTGAAACCCAGACAAGGCAATGACTGAAAACAGTTGTGTTTAGAATAAATACCTACTTTCCCTTCCACAAAAACCTGCGTTGAGTTTTATTATATTAATTTCCTATGCTAGTGCAGAACCACTATGCAATGTAAAACCTGGGTAATAAGGTTGGCAAAAAATTACATGAAGCAGCGTGTTCACACTGTGAGCACTTACTGGCATGTTGTATGAGCTTCAATTCCAGGAGATGCATCTTCCATACCAGCTAATCTTCTATATACTTCATCTTCAGGTAAAGGGATTATTTTGTTGAAGGAGGGCCTAGCATACCTGAGAGGTATACCCCCGCATAATATGCTCTCCATAAAAAAAAAACAAAACAAAAAACAACAACAACAAAAAAACAAACCTGGATTTTGTGTGCTCTGGTGTTCACATGAAATCAGCATTGCTCAAAATTATGCATTTCAGAAAATTCTTTGACTGTGATACCTTGCACTGGCACAGAGCAGCTGGAGCAGCTGCAACAAACATGAAAGCAGTCAGTCAGCATCGCTTTCTAAAAGCATTTTGTGTGGCTGAGGGCAGGTATTTGGGCCTCCTGCAGCACAGATACACCAGATCTTTGCTCATTTCAGTGTGCCACCTTTGGAAGTTGTCCTTTTAGTCTTTAAATTGAAAGGGATTATAAAAACATAGAGAAGTTGAGAAACAAGCCCTCTTGGAAGATGAGGTACTGAATTCATCTTCTTCCAGGTGCAAACACACGGAAGGGATGTTCAGGTGGGAAGAACTAGGGCAGGCTTGTCTTGCTGAAAACCAGGCTTTCGACACTCACTGGTGAAAACTGTCTCTGACCTGGGAGTATCTGCATCAGTCAGAAACCCAGCTTTTATTAGAAAGAAAGTAAACTTGCCACAGCTAACCAAGATATATGAACCTTCATTTTGCCTCCCCGGGAAGACAGCTACAGCAAATGAGAGAGGTCAAGAGAAATCTGATTTAGGAGAACACATTTCTGTTCCTCAAAGCTATTCCCCAAACAATTCCATTCTTTGCTGCAGGAAAAGAAAGCAGAGAAACTCCCCTCCCACCATGTTTCAAGAGAATTGAGCCCTCTTAGTTCTTTGTGTTCTCAGCCCTGTTTGCTTATCACTCGTGGCTCAGACAGATAGCTGCAATTCCCACCGGCTTCCCAGAAGAGATTAATTATCCCACCTAGGAACAAAGCATCCAGGAACCACTTAATCACACTTTTCAGAGAAGTAAGAGAAGAAACTATCCCATCCCTGGCAGAGGCGCTGGCAAGGATGTTCTGGCAGCGTTGGAGGCTGGAATACCAAATGTTGGGCTTGTTCTAATAAAGACATTTGGACTGCAAGGCAGGGTTTCCCTTTCTCTGCCGAGCTGACAGCGACATGTCACCTGCCTTCAGGGTGAGGCAGCATTTGTACGGGTGCAATAGTTTGTTGGCAGAGATACTCTCCCCCCAGGAAAGCCTAATGAAAGCAGCCAGCATATGCAATGACAGGACACAGACCATGCAAGGAATTAAACCCTTTCCCAGGAGGGTAAGCTGTGTAAATAGAAAAAGGAAAGAATTCTGCTCTGCATGAAGGCAGATTCTTGCCCTGCATTGCCAAGGGACTGAACTTAATCACTAATCCCCTGCAACAAGTAGCAGAGGCAGAACTCCAAGCCACAGGACTGTGCTGGTGTAGCAGGAATATTTCCCTGGAGACAGCAGCTCACAGAAGAGATAAGGTACATCACAGCTTTGGAGTGACAAGATTGCTATCGCAGCTTGTGCCTCATTACTATTTTGAACCTTCAGCACAGATCTATGATGCCTTTCCAGGATTAGCCTACTTCCAAAGCTAAAGAAAGTCTCTCTTAATTTACAGGCTGTTACTTATTTAACACCAGAATCACATTAATTGAGAGTGCCTTTGGACTATCCCAGCATTTTAGCTGTACAGTGTACTTGGAATACCACACAGGACTAGAGTGAGTGTACAGAGCAATGTCAAGTGTGAAACTTGGCCTAAACAGAGCACATTTTAGGTACACAAACATTCTGGCCTCACATCTAGAAGCACAGACTCTGGTGGTATATTTTGCCTTCTTTTTTAAATACTGTGGGTTTTTTTGCTTCCAAACGTTCCCATGAATGGTCATCTTAATAAAATTAATAAAATCTCCATATATGGCTTCAAATAATGCAAATACAAAAACCAGAATTGGAGACAAGTCAGCTCCCAAAGTTCTGGCCTAAAGACTCCTGCTTTGCATTCTGGTATAAAGCCTAAATGCAACAAAGTGTGTCTTAACTTTTTACAGAGTCAAAAATGTTTTCTGCAACACATTCTTTTAGGACACGAACTCAAATGAAATAAAATAAAGCTTGTTACCAAAGTATACACAGGCTTCTAAATATGTCTTTTGATATGATTTTGCTATGTGCCATAATGCATTGTTACTCTGACCCTTTTCAGCACCCTGACACCTCCCCCTGCCCCAAACCAAAGGGCTATTTTGAAACAGAGGAAATGCATAACTATTGTGCAATATTAGAAACTACTGGCTTATAATTTAATACCAGTAATGAGCCTCGGCTATTCACCCTGAATCATTCTTCTAAAGGCAAAGTGGTTAAAAGTAATGGGTATCTGCTTCAGCTCAGAATAATGAGGACACTAAAAAAAGTATATAAACAGCTAAAGGACGTGCCAGCTCTGCAGAGATCTGCTCTAATTGAATGGGCAGTACACCTGCAGCATAAGCAAGTCAGAAGAACACACCATCCATCATGCTGCAGGGAAATTAATAGGTATAAGGACAGTGCATCCCACGAGTGATTACCCAGCTCTCTTTTGATGACTTACTTTCCCTCTGATCCATAGCTGTTCATGCTGTCCTCGATGGACTCGTGGCTGGCCTGGCGGACGGTCCTGCTGGGCATTTCCACAGCCAGCCCGGTCTCTGTGCTCCTCTGGATGGCTCCCTTCAGCCTCCGACCATCGCCGTCTAGGAACACAACGGGAGAAAAGGCAGTCAGCCTCTATTCCTAGAGCCTCTTGCAATGACAGAGCCAAGGAGAAGCAGAGGTCTTTCAAAAGACCAGCCTGGCATCTGGCAGTACTTTACTGTCAGACAGTGTTTCCTTACTCGGTCCTTCAGCAGCTCCCAGTCACATTTGGAACAGACTCAGTGCTCCACCAAGCCAGGGCCCAGAAGATACTCAAAGCATACACTCCACCTTACATGCTCCAACCATTTGTACCAAACAACTATCCATGGAGCAGGCATGCACTCCAGCTGGCTACACCCGGAGCTGCCCAGGCAGGGAACGCAGCAGTGGTAACCACGGGCACAGCTGAGGTGCACAGCCTGACCCTGCCTCAAAGCCTTTCCCAAATCCCCTGTTGCTGCCAGCAAAGAGTGGCAGGTCCTGGAGCAGAGGGGAGGAAAAGGCCAGGCAGCAGCCCTTCCAGACGGGCTACAGGGGAATAGTTGGGCACAGGCAAAATGTTCCCTGGTGGCACCAGAAAGCCACCAGCAGTGGAAAACTCTGGAGAGGACTATTCCCCTTGGTAGACGCCCTCGGCTACAGCATAAAGGGAATTAAGTAGGTTCTGGTTCCTCCTGGGTGCAGTCTTCAGAGGCTCAGCCCTCTGAAATTAACAGCTGCTATTTTCATCCTCCATCTCTAGCAGTCTGTTTCCCAGAACAAACCAAGTTATGTAATGAATATGTAATGAATACCATTACTATTAATTGCTGTAGCTGGTGTTAGGAAGCTCCAGATTTCATCCTACGTAGAGCACTCATCCTGAAACACATCTGCTACAAGTTTTCTGAACAAAGCAGAATTATCTAAATCCTCTAAAGATGCCTGGCCATTAATGTGGATTCAGGCAACCAACCTCTGATCCACACTGCTCTCCCAAACACACCAGCTGTTCGAGGACCACCCCTGGAGAAGAAATGACCCAGCTACTGAGTCTAGAGAACTCAGGGTCCCCAAATATTAAAGAAAACAAGTCTTTCACAGAATCACAGGATGGATAAGGTTAGATGAGACCACAGTGGGTCATCTGGTCCAACCTCCCTGGTCAAGCAGGATCGTCTTAGACCACAGGATGGTACCCAGATGGTTCTTCAATATCTCCAGTGACCAAGACTCCACAACTGCTCTGGGCAACCTGATCCAATGCTGGGTCACCCACACAGTAAAGAAGTTCTTCCTCATATTCAGGTAGAACTTCTTGTGTATCACTTTCCAAACTACTTTGGAAATACAAGGGTATCTGTAAGAACCTGTCTAAAATCTGCAGATCTCTGTTATTTGTGTAGCAGTCTGCTTGACCTAAAATACTTTTCTTTAGATCTTGGTGTGAACAGGCACTTTCAGTAAGACACCAGAAATGTTTCCTATCCTACTTCTCAAATTATATCTACACTGAAATGCAAAGACAGAAATTCTCCTATAAATACAGCTATAAAGTACCTTTTCTTCTGGTATCATTAGGTTTCCAACTGGGTAAATGTGTTGGCCCCAGGGCTCTGCACCAGCTGCTGTCCCCACATATGGTGCAGCACGTGTATGCATGTCCCTATGGGCTAAGGGGATGGAATGTGCATGTTCTGGGTTAACATTAACTACAGTTTGTATTGTTTGTGTGCCTTGAGCAATTACAAAGCACATTGTATAAATCAGGAAGTCACACAAACGTAAAACATATTTTTCATGTGCTTTCAAAATCCAAACCTTCAGGCAAGAGTAACAATGTGGGCATCAACAAAAGCAAAGCCCTGCGAAATGGTCGTGCCTGTTCCCCCAACCACTGCAGAGCAGCTCCCTGTGATGCACCTTCTAAAGCCTTGTACAGCTCACTGGAGCCTCTGATGGGGTCTGCAGGTTCCTTTCTGGGAGCATCCCACAGCCTTGCGGGCACACGTGATGGTCCATTGAATTTGTCTCTCACATTCACCTCCACAAACAATCTTTTAGTCATCTGCACGCACCAATGCCCCCCCTCCTTCACGTGTGCACTCAGAACACTCATCCTCCTGCCCCTCCAGGTTAGTCCTGCTGGCAGCCAGCGTCAGACAGCAAATGACACAAATGCAGGAAACAAATTAAAGATGCCCCGTTGCCCAGCTATGCAACATCTGCTTAAAAAACCCTCTTATTTCCCCAATCTACCGAGACGTGCCTGGAGGCATTCCAACTTAAAGGACTATTCATCCACAGCTGGCAACAAGTGAGAGGCTGGGGACAGAGCAAGGCTTTGGAACAACCCAAGGTGCTTGCTGCTTTCTACCAGACATCTCCAGATTCAAAGCCAGGGGCTTAAAGCAGAAGTGCCCAAACCCAAGGAAGGGCAGCACCAGGGAACTGTGCCAGAGATGATCCAGCTGGCATGGGGCAAGTTCAGCCTTCACTGCTGGCTGTCTATGAGTGGGTGGTTTTCTAGCACATCTGATTGCTTTTACAGCTATGGCACATGGATATTCTTATTTAAAAAAAAAAAAAAAAAAGAAAAAAGCATAATGGAGAAACTCTGGAAAACTAAACAACAGGAACAGATGACAAGAATCCTTTGTTCCTCCCTCTTTTTCCAGAAATGCACAGCAACTCCTACATCCATTATTCTGGAGAAAGGTTTCTTCAACCTTTCATCCCCTTGTAGTCTCTTTTTGCCAGAAGTTTTCCTTTAGCAGAAGGGGAGAAATTTGTTTTGCCAAAAAGGCAAGGCCCCAAACCACTGCAGCCAGAGGCAAGACTGAAACATGGTAAGGGATCAGCATAAGCCCCAGAGATGCCCTAAGATGTAGATTCCTGAACTACCCACATAAACTCTTTTGTCAAACTTTATCTCAGTCAGCATTTTTTTTTTTTTTACACCCCAAGCTGGGAGAGAAGGGCACATCAGGAGTAGCACACCTGGAAAGGGTCTGTGCAGAAGGGAAAGAAATATGGACCAAGCAGCATCTGCAGGCCAAAAATATTTCACAAGCAACAGTCACCTACCAGCAACCTTCTCTGGTCAGTGTGGAGCATCACATCGGGGCTGTGCCTCCTCCCTTACCTGAAATCTCTGTGCTCTGACACCTTTGCAAATCAGGGGGTAAATGAGATGCATCTACGTGGGTGTTGCCTGGCAAAATCATTTGTCTTAATTAGCTGGCAGTATCTGAACAAGTAAGAGTGGTATCGACGTTTTCTGCAGCGTCACCAGATTTATTCCCTGCTCCTTTTCCAGTTCAGCAGTAAACAACAAAGGTTAAGCAGTCAATCAAGCCTGCAGTGCAACACATCACTGAAGAGCGGATTTTCCTTCGGGATGACCTTGGGAAGGAGAAATTTTTTGGTCAAAGATCCAGGATGAAGAGACACAGCCCCTCGCTGGTGCCAAGAGCCAGAAGGGCCCAGCAGTCACTTTGCCAAGTTCTCAGTGTTGACAGGAACTGAGATTTTGCTCCGTTCAGCCAAACAATTTATGTTTGGCTGGAGAATATCTTCTACAGCACTATCCACTCTGGATCTGAAGATATCGAGAGATGAAGAATCTGCCATTTGCCTGCACAGTTTATTTTACTACCTGACATTTAGAGATGTGACTTAAGTTTGCCTGGTTTCAGCTTTCACCCATCAGTTTTTTTAGTGCCCTTCTCCTCTGTGCTTTGTGTTCTCACCATAGAGACTTTTCTGCAGTGCAGTTGAGTTATCTCTCAATCTTATTCTGACAAGTTAAACGGACTGAGATCTTTATGTCTCTCATACTCTGGCTTTTTTTTTTTCTCCCAGCCTTGAGCCTTTTTTATGACATCCCCAGGTTTTAAACATCCTTTTGAGAACCTGCACAGCAGAACTGGAGTCTGCATTTCAGTGCAGAAACATGTACACAAGGTAAAAAGTCAGCTTGTAATCTCATCTTCACTGCTTCTGCTGGCATGACCCAAGGCCACAGTAAGCTCTTGGTCACATCACACCTCACCTGGAGGCTGTGCAGTCTCTGCCTGTCCTGCTGGTATGACCTTGGAGAACATTATATTAAAGAAATATGTAAGCAAATGAATTTTATTTGAAGAGAAAGTGAGCAAAACTCCACACAGCTCTATACAGCTCTCCCACCCCCAATACTATTCACCTCTAATGTGCATATTGCCTGTGAATTTAGTGAGGTTTAAGCTCATGCTTGCTCCAAATCAAATGAAAACACTGAACAGCACCAGGCCTTCAAAAGAGCCTCCTGCCTTTGAGGCTTTTCCTTGACAACTGCTTTTTGAAATGTGAAATATGTTTTTAATCTATTTATCATGATCACATTTTTTAGGGTCACGTTGTTCTAGGACAAAACCCCTACATACTTATCACATTTACCCAGTTACCTGCTTCTTCAAAAACTTGGGAGAAAAAAATTTTTCACAAGACCCATTTTCCCTAAATTCTTTTTGACTGATATTAATTATATTCCATCCTCTTGTTCATTATTAATTAGATCTCATTATCATGTTTCCCCTAATTCTGTCTGTGAGTGACATCAGACCAACTAAGCCAAAGTTCTCCTCCTGGTTCACTACTGGGTTGTGTGGAGGGCAAGGTGACCGTGCAGGTGCCCTGTGCAGAGCAGAGCATCCCTTGGAGACCTCCCTTCCTTAACTAAACTTCCAGCTGCCCACACACTGAGGGCAGCTCTTCTCAAGGATGATGCCACCTAGAACTGTCTTTGCCTTAAATCATGGGGGAGGGAAACATAAGAGTGGCACTGCCCCCTTCTCTCCCCTCAAGGAAAGAGTCACCACTTCTGCCCACTCCAACACATGACTCTTGGAAGACCTTTCTCTCTGCTGCTGACAGGGCTCTCCATGCTCAGAGACTGTCAGGTCTTGAAAAATCTTCATGAGCTCTGCAATTGCTCATCACAAGGTCATGTTTATGTAATTACTACTCCTACACAGAATTTCTCTACAGCAGCTGTTTATTAATGACATTCTGAGGGCAGCATGTCCCTTCCACT